TTTTAGGGCAAAGTAGCCGATGTCATCCACAATTGGACTCCGAACTGAGAGTTCTGGATATACCTGGTAATCGATCATCATTTTTTGTACCTGGGCATGTTATTTCATTAAAAAAAAGTTATATTTTTCAAAAGTCCCGAACTTTGTCTATAGAAGTTTGCAGGGCTGTGGTGGGGAAATCTATCAACCGAACGCGTCCCCGTACACACAGCACTGTACGCAGGGCTAAAGCGGCCAATAAGAGCTGCTAAACTGCAGCAAAGTGACCTTACTGCTGTACTTTCCAAAGTCACTGTTGTGTCAATAAATAAATCATTAGACCCAAAAAATATTCCATAACAACCACTGATGAAATGAATCACGCAACACAATAGAATCATTTCAATTGACATTAATTTTAAGCAATAAGGCTGCATAAACAAGTGAAAACACTAACGATCGCTAGCTGTCAGTTCTTCTAAACTTCGTAGGTGTGACAACAACAGTCTTCGCTCTTTCGAGTCAAGAACAGCGATGAATTCTTCCGTCTTCTCGGGTGTATCGATACGAACACCTCGTCGACTATATATTGTTCTCTGACTACAGGTGACTGGACAAAATATTCTAAAATGCAATATTTGGAGCGAATTGCCCTGAAATGCCCGTCTTGTCGCATGCCTAATCACGGAGGCAGCCATTTTGTGGTGTTCGTTTGTTTGTTCGTGTGTGCACTTAGCGGGTCAAACCACTTTAAAGCAGGGGTAGAAACATTGTGCATGTGGCAGGAGGCCATAGCTGTTTACAAACACGCGTCTACCCATGCGCATGCACAGGTGAAGACCCCCCCCCCCCTAGAATTATCACTGACTGCCAATCGTGATTTTGTGTCTAACCTAAACAAACCTATCAGAACTGCATAATTCGTGATGTAGATTTACCGTATTCACCCCACGTATTTAAAGGGCGGTGGTAGTCGCGCTACGGGTGTTCGAATTTCATGTAAATAAACAATGTATTTTACACGCGCTGTATACGTCGCTATGAGTCCCATATCGAACAGGACGCGGCGCGACGACTGCCGCCCTTTAAACTAAAAACACTTAATTAAATATTACAAATGTATAGTAAAATAAACCAATATCAATCAAAGATACGAGGTACAATTTTGAAGGCTGAATATGCCCTAATATGTACCCACTGACTGTTTTATTTTTAAGAAGATGCATTGATCAGACACTGTACAAGCAAAATAGCAAGAAGATCGATTCAAGCATTCGTGAGACACAAATGCCCCAAATTGTGTTTATTTTTTGCCAAAAATTCAAAATGGCGACAAAATTATGTGACTGGTCTTTTTTTTTTCTCCTAATATTGATTTTTTTAAAAAGATGCATTGGTCAGACATGGTAAAAGCAAAATAGCAGACAGATCGGTTCAAGCATTCATGAGACAGAAATGCCCAAATTGTGTCCATTTTTGACGAAAATCCAAAATGGCGGTCAAAATTATTTCATTTTTCTCATAATAAGCTTTAGCCATACATGCGAATGCAATATATCAAGTTGAATAGTTTAAAACATACAAACTAGACTGGCAAATTCTGGACTTTTTTTTGTTTCAATTTAATGTCAATTTAGCCCTTTTTGTGTGATAGCGAAAACTAACGTGCCCGCGGTCACGTTAGTTTTCGTGATCACGCTAAAAAGACTTGAAACAATTAATTATTACTCTTTTGTAAAACAAAAAAAGAAGTCCCGACGTTGCCAGTCTACATGCAAACGTTTCTGGGGATTTATATCACATTGAACAGCACTTCAGCATATCTTTCACCATTTTACCCTTTTAAGCAAGATCTTGCAATTATTGGTACAATGAGTAGTCTTAAATAGAAGAAGCATAGTATATTTACTATGCCTGACTTGGACACTCAATTCTGGGCAGAAACAGAATAACCAAAGAAACGCTCATACTCGACATTGTTTCTGTATCATCATCACACAGAGTCTGAAACTGATAAAATCGGAAGGTATCCCCTTTATGCAAGTGGGCCCATAAGCACAGTCGCGCCATGTAAAAATCAGTGCTCGTGGATTTGCAGTCAGATCAGCAGAATGTTCCAGACAATGAGGTGAGTAAGGTTACAATGAACAACAAGACGAAAATGGCGACTGCTACAGCGCAACATGAAGAAAACAAGGCCGGCTGTACGCCACGCCAGGGAAACAGGCTGAAAGTCCAGAATGGGCAAACATTCGTGGTCTGGATGCTCTGCTAGAGACCTTCATAGTGAAGACAGCAGTGGAACAGCTAATCTACCAACTAGTACAGCAATAACAAATTCTGAACGCATGGTCCCGGACCTGGAGTGTACTTGAGTTCGCATTCTAAAGGTTTGAAATATTATTGATTTTATATTGTTGATTTTATGTTTGGGGTTAAGGCTGCTAAGGTAGACCAGCAAATGTTGTCAGTGGGTGAAGGGTGTAGCAAACTTCTTTTGGAAAGTGGGCCCTGTAAGCCCAAGTTAGATACTCTAACTCCACAATAGTGGATAGGAGTTCGTTCCCATATATTGTTTGAATTAATTTCAAAGCATTGTCATGAATTTGTTTTCGCGTATCTGTTGATCGACTTATTTAGCTGATTACTAGTGAATGGCTGTGTTATATCTGTCATCGTTTAGGCTCATGCGAGGTCCTGGACGGAACTCGACTCAGTGATTTGGAACTAATTACGATATAACCGTCGCTATCCGGACTACTATTTCTGACAGTTGGTATTCGCAGTTAGTAATATAGTGAACGATATGACGTGTCCAGTGCTTAGTGTGATTGGCTGTGTGCAGGTCGAATGTGTGAAAGCCATGCCTTAGAGTCTTTTAACTGCTTTGTAATTGGTTAAGGTCTTGAAAGTGAATAAAGTTGTTTTAGTTGATCTTGGCGAGAACACCAGGAGAGACGCAGTCTAGGGTCTAGTCTTGAGTCAGCCTTGCGATAGTCTTGGGGACTTTTCCCTTTTCCCTGTGTCTTATAGAGTACACGACTGACCGACTAAAGACGAGACGTGATACGTAATTCGTTGTGTGTGTCTATTTGACTGTAAAGCTTAAGTGACTTTCCCGATCCCGCACCTCAAGCAGACGCGAGATAGAGACCAGACGGTATTCCCCCCTGACACGTGTGGAGAACCCAGAGGAGAAGAATTTCCCCGTGATAGCATACTTTGTTAAGGGTTAAGAATTATTTAGCATCTGCTATTAAGGTTTCAGTGCGTTATGAGTGGTCATACTGCAGTATGATAAGGAATATTCCAGCAGCATACAATCTTCCCTTGGGTACAGATTCACAGCATTTGTCTACAGTATATCCGAGAGGTAAAACTCCTTACCAAATAAGAGATGCCAAGAATAATGTTAAGCAGTTGACAGTTCAACAGGATGTCCCATTTGAATAGGTTACAAGAAGAAGAATTGCCAGTTTGGGATTAAGTGCACTTATGTAATGATTAATCAAAACAAATCGTTGTCAGGTGATACAATCCAAAGGTGACTCGCCACAGTGATGTGAAGACAGTAATAACTTGCAAGTGTCATCACCAAAATCAAAATGTGACTGAATATTTGTTTGCTATCTGAAAAAAAAAATTGACATTGGAAAATTTGCAAAATATAAATATGGCGTAAAAAACAAAAGTACTTCCTATTAAGAAGAAATCAAAGATGGCAGCCAAACCACGTGACAAATCAAACTTCAATGAGCATTATACATAAATACTAAAAATCCAACTTCAGATCAATCGGTTCGGCGAAACAGTTTTTAGTGCTGATACCTATTGCACATGAGTTGTACTAATTAATACAACAATCTGGCAGTGATCACTCGTTTCTTGTTGACGTTAACCTAAGAGGAAATATAGTGGGATTATATGTATGTATATCTGAAATTTCATCACGTCTAGTTTCTGACCGTTTTTTATGCACAAATTAATACTAGAATTTAGATTATCGGTGAATAATTTAATTGCTACGTTATACATGAATTCGTGAAAACTGTAATAATTGGCACTCCACAAAACACGGCCTTTTTTATTATTGCAAATATTGTTTCTCATGGCACCCATGTCATCCACTAAATGAATTGGATTGCAATCCTTTCACGCCTAGTCCCGTTATTTTAAAGATAGATCCTGCGAGTGGTTCCTTTGCTCGTTGCTCCTCGGTCAACCCCCTGCTTGCCGATGTAACGTAGAGCTCATCTAAGAACTTGCCACCAAAGCAGCACGATGTAGGCCTAGATACAGGCATCTTTATAATGTGGATAGGAATACCTAGTAGAGATACGATAAACACATTGTTGTGAATTCTATTAATATTCATATATACGGAATACACCGAATACATTATTTTAAGGAAAAAGTATGATTAACCTAATTAAATTCGATGAAGGTATAGGCTCCATTTATTTTTCTTATTTTATTTATTATTGTTTATTTATTTAAGGCGATCGAGATAGCACATAATAACAAGTAAAACCAACAAGTAGTCCTAAATGATAAAAAATAACATTAGCTAAATGGCGGATATACCTTCATCGGATTGTAATCAGATGGATGGAGACAGCATGTGATTTACAGTACGTTGTTTTTGTCAGAAAGCTCAGCATTACCAGAGTTGATGAAACGTGGATGCGGCACCAAGCCGAGGCCAGTCAACTCATAAATGCACCATAGAAGCTCATAAAAGTAAATTAAGCACTGTATCTGCTTCGAGAATTCAAATTCTTGTTTCTCGCATGATGCATTGAACCCCGACTTCCCTGTACGTATACGGAGTATAAAGCGCACTCTCGTGTTTTCGTCATTTCATCGAAAAATTATTGTTTTTTGCTGTCAATACAATATGTTTTCATTTGTTCAAACAAAAGTTAATTTAAATATGCTAAAATAGACTATTCACATTGGTGTCTTTAATAATTGGGGGAAAGTGATAGGTGGAAAAAAATAACTGACCTGTAGCTGGGTCTATCCGCGCTATTGTGTAGCCATCATACAAAGCAACCCAGATCATTCCTTCCTCATCCACGCACATGCCGCCTGGCTCTATTGTCTTGTCACGAAATGTGATGATGTTCCTGCGGTTACCTATAGCAAACGATTTACGATGTAAATAATAGCTTTAATTCGTTTATCGATGCTTCTATAACTATAGACTTAATTTATAAGACTGTTATCCATGCAAGGGTTGTAAGGAATATTTTTTCGTGTGCAGTTACATACTAAATGCGTAGACAAACTGTATCTCATCTGAATAAAGTATTTTATGTTGATTTTGAATTCTCAAAGAAACTTATTGCATGTGACTTACTTAGTTTTCCTTTTTCCAGATCAAAATTAAATGCATCTATTCGTCTTGTTGGGGAGTCAATATAATACATGACATCATTCTCCGGACTCCATGCAATGCCATTGGGCTTACGAATGTTATTGAAATGTGACATGACTTTATGATCTTTGTCGATGCTATACAGTGTACCCTGGCCTAGTTCGCCTTCCTCTAACTTCGACGGTAACACCATGGTACCTATCAAAAAACAAGTTCGATAATATGAAAAATGTTACTCGTATATCTTATTTCGCTTAACCTTACAGTCAAAACGCCTTTTCTTAGTAAGTCAATAGAGAAGAGTTCGAAAAAAAAATTAGCATCCCTGGACGATTGCCTAATTGAACTTTTGAGTGACAGTATCAGCGTTTGGCAACTTTCACAAGATATATCCCACATAATATTTACATGTTGACCAAGACCTATATTGCATATTTCCGCCTATGCGTTCCACCAATGAGAATGCGAGGCTTGCAATGCAAATCATAGTAAGCACTAGCCACCGCCTGATAAAAGCGCACTGAAAATTCTATGAATCGGTACTCAACATATCAATATTATTGTGTTATTTGTATTAGTTTTCAACATTCATTAGTAATAAATGTAAAAAGAAAAAAGGAAACAAGAATACGATATACCTGACCAAAATCTTCCACGTGCATCACATTTGGCATCGTTTAAATACATATGTTCGATTTTCGATTTTTTCTGATCAACCTCAGCCAACGTCGTTAGCTCCCCACTCTCGAAATCTAATGTAGCAAATCTATTTCCGACGACAAGCGCGTGTCCGCCTTTTTGCCTAGTAACAACGGCCCCTACAATCCAATCTGGGAAAAGAAAAACAAATGAAGGAAAATCGCGTTAAATTTGAGAACAATAAAAAAAATGACTTGCGCTAAACATTACTTAGGGTTTGCAACTACGGTGACATGATACCAAAATCCCGTTTCAATCTCGCTCTCGCATAAGCGTTCCAATGCGAATGCGCATGTCCGAGGTAACTAGGATACTGGGATGTCCAGGTGGATCAAAATAGCTGCTCACGATATGACGGATTACGATAACTATATTTTCTCTACATTTCCGATGTATTACATTTTTTTCACTTTGTATATGGTAATACATGTTTTATTGTTTTATTACAAACCGCCTATGTCATGTCAGAACGTTGTAGCATCAGTCTCGCTATCTACGAGATGAGACTTGAATGGGATCTTGACATGATGTCACCATACAGTACTATGCGCGTTGCAAACCCCAAGTAATGTACCTCTGCGCTAACTTATTACTAGTATATTACAAGTAATAAGTTCTTCAAATTATTTGATAAATATTACTAAGTTGTACCGGCTGTGATACTGGTAACATAGCTCTGAATAAGCAAAATAGAATAATGCTCGGCCATGTGAGGACGTGAGTACATGTTTCTACCAACAGCAGTGTTTGTAAACCAACGCATAAGCCTTAGAGTACAATTAATGTGTCGTTCTTTTAAACAATAGCGAAACATTGGTACACAGATTACACCATTCCCTGGTCAATATATACATTATACAATATCCGCTGCGTTGTAGGCATACTTGTCTAATGGTTAAAGCGGCGGAGTCGTCACCTGCGCATGCGTCAGATGGCCATAGTTTACAAACAAGCGTCTACCCATGAGTCTTTGCGTTTTTTGCATGTGTAGTTATCATCGCTTGGGACTCAATTTTCGCGCGTGCGCATGTGACGACCCTTCCGCTTTAATAACCACAAGTAATCTGAGAATGAAATATGTTAGAAGAACAGGGCAGCATGTACTTGCACTAGGTGTGGTTGTACCATAATTGCAAACTATTAAAGTAGCTTTAACAGTAGAGTGCCCCTTGGCAGTTTTATAATTCTTTCTCAAATCTTATTTCTTGCTTTTATCAGAAACATATCTAGTAATTTAAAACAAGCAGCCAGACGGCTGAGATAGCTCCGCTGTTAGCAATCCACATTTCAATTAAAGAACAGAAGATATCATTAGAAAATGAACAATATGTATAGTATCAAAGCAATGGGACTTGCTGTTTTCAACAAGAATTCAAAAATATCACTTTTCACCAAAAATGCCAAAAATAATCATCAAAATTAGATAATTGAAGATATCACCACGGTGTTAACAAATCTGAAAGAGGTCCACATGTAGTACCTATATATATATATATAATAGAAAAGCAATCGGACTTGCGGTTTTCAACAAGAAGTCGAAAATATCACTTTTTACCAAAAATGACAAAGTATCATCATGAAATGAACAAATCTGAGAGTGGTCCACATGTAGTACATGCATATGTAATATAAAATCAATTTGACTTTTGGTTTTTAACAAGAAGTCGAAAATATCACTTTTTACCAAAAATGACGAAAATATTCATCAAAATTAGAGAATTCAAGATATCATTACAAAATGAATAAATCTGAGAGAGGTCCACATGTAGTACCTATATATGTAATATCAAAGCAATTGGACTTGCAGTTTTTAACAAGAAGTCGAAAATATCACTTTTTACCAAAAATGACAAAAATATTCACCAAAATTAGAGAATTGAAGATATGATCATGAAATGAACAAATCTGAGAGAGGTCTACCCAAGGTACATATACAGCAAGTATCAAAGCATTCAGGCTTGTAGTTTTCAATAAGAAGTCGAAAAAGTAAAACATAGACACGGACGACGGACGACGACGGAAGACGACGGACAATCACTCATATGATAAGCCCCGCTCGACAAAGTCGACAGCGGAGCTAACAAATAGATTTGGTAGCTGTTGGGTGCCAGGAAAAAACAGCATTGCCATTGTTATTAATATCGTACGGTATAAATATCACGACCGAAAACTTTTCAATGTCTCATTTTGCTAATGGTCGTCAAAAAGACGCCAACATACAAGATAAAATGTGTTTACGTACCTTTATTTAAGATCACCTGTCTATGTTCTCCTGTAGCAGAATTCCAGAGATGCGCACTCGGCGCAAAGCTATTGACAAACAACAGAGTATTCGTACTGTGGTCCCAATGTGGTCCTTCCATTGAATCCCCCACATTTTCAAGAACCACTGTAATGTCTTCTGTCGCCATCTATTATTGTTGAGCCAAGAAAACCCATATGTCATTGTTTATTTTTCTAAAATTCACGTCTAGTGCGTATGCAAGACAAAAAATGTGCGCTGGTTTGAGGTAATAGAGCGCCACCAACGAATCGTTCCATCGTACCAGACGTCGGAACACAAGATCATATACACGTTTGTGAGCTCATATATGGGTTTCCTGGGAACTGAAATATAGCACCTATCACAACCAGTTTTGGAGACGCACATACATTCAATATGATGTGACCGGGGTAGACTCGAGACGTGTGTCGTATATTGGCAAATGTCCAAGAAGGTTTTATGATATCAAATCCCCAACCAACATACGTGTTAGAGTTGGCATTGGAACAAACGCTATTAACTGCTGACTATATATGATATGACGTAGGAATTGAGTTTGTGGTCTATGGCGCCCAGGGTAACACGCTTTCAATTCCGTCATTCCTGCACATACTATGATACCAATGACGTATAACTAGACGCTTCTCATACATTAAGCTATCAATAGACATACAGCAAGGGATAAGTTAAAAGTTAAACAACGTAAAACAATAAACTTATCCCAGCAAGGCAAGTGACCTCGACCTTTTATTTACTGGAGGAGTACTGTAATTCCGTGCTTGACCGTGACGGGTAGTCAATCTGCTACGGATATTCACGATAGCGAACTTATAATCGTAAATTATGACTTCACCTGATTTGGGGGTCCGTTGCAGCGATACACCCGCACTGTATTTATGAATGCACGCCTTCCTTCTACTCATGTACCAATCGACAAATAGGCTATAAAATGTGTGTAACCTGTGACGTTGACGTCACGCTCTTCGTTTGTGTACGTTAACCACACAGGTGCTGCAAAGCTATCATGGTATGATCGCTTCGCTTCATATCTACACTCGTCCGTTGTGATATGATAAGATGTGGACCATATTATGTAGGTAGGGTAGATCCTATATGAGATTTGCGAGGAACAATACTCACTAGCGAATAAGTCACCAAGCATTACTTTCCGAGCTGAAAAGAAAATGTGCAGAAAAAGTTACCATGATCATATTAAGATTTTGAGGCCTAAGAGAAAAACGAACTGCGCAGTATTCCTAACGTTTTCACCTTGGCAGGAATAATACGTTGTCCCTAACAACGAGGAGTGAATTACTTAGCTCTTAACTCCAAGCATGGGCTGTTCTTATCACATCGCATTATCATACAGCGAGCTCATTATGGGCGAACCAAACAATTAACCAGAGCACCGTGGTTTGGAATGATGCCAATGCAACAGTTGCAGGAATAGTTGATGTAAATATTTGCTGTGTAAAATTGGGTTGACTGTACAAAGGTGGTCACTGTAGGGAGGTAGTCTATATAAAGGGGTCACTAACATAGGGTTGGCGGGACAAAGGTGGTCACTTCAGGCAAGTAGTCTTTATATAAAGGAGGTCACTAACATAGGGTTGGTGGTACAAAGGTGGTCACTTTAGGCAAGTAGTCTTTATATAAAGGTGGTCACTAACATAGGGTTAGGCGGGACAAAGGTGGTCACTTTAGGCAAGTAATCTTTATATAAACGTGGTCACTAACATAGGGTTGGCGGTACAAAGGTGGTCACTTTAGGCAAGTAGTCTTTAAATAGTGGTCACTAACATAGGG